TTTGTTTTTGGGACCTCTATTGTGAAAAGTTTTTTCCACTGGAAAAATTGCTCATGGAATCTTCCTTTACTTAGGAAGCCATGGAAGCTGAAAGCTTGGGGCTTCTCTTGAGCTGAAGATCTGAGGCTGCAAAGCAAAAGGATTGCTGAGAACAATTACAAAGAACCTGAGAAAGGAAGCTGAATACAATCTATGAAAGGAAAATGAATACTACAATCAACTACAAAAGATCCCTCACCAGGAATCCAGATTTGTTTTGGTGATAGTTTATTATAGAGGACCTCCTGTTTGTTTGAAGGGAGGGGGGGGGCCCGTTTACTAATCAGGCGCCAACATTTAAAAAACTATGCCTCACTCTCCTTCTCGACTTTTGCCCAGGCTCGCGCTTCGCGCTTTTTGGCATTGCGACGGTCCACGCGCGACTGCTTCGCCTCTCACACGCCAATGCCGAGCGTGCGAATTGCATGTGCTGTCTACGACGGCGCTCACATTTCTAAACCCTGTGCATCTTTGTGATGTGCTTTGCTACTTCTCTCTCTCTCTCTGTCTTCTCAAACTAAGCGGACATGGAACGATATCCGGAAGTGTTCTGCCGTGCCTGCTCCTTCTGCGCCTGGCGCGCACGTCTTGCACGACGTGCTCTCGCCAGGGTCTCTTTGTTCTCTTTGTCCGCTTTCAGGCGCTCCTTCCGCACCTTGGAACCCAGACAAGCTCTGCGTAGAGATCTATCTTTGTTCGTGGTTTTTCCTAAGAGTGAGCCGTTCCACGAATGGTCTTCGATTGGCACCAGGTCCCACGAACTACCCGTGCCTGCGTTTCTGCGCAACCCTTTCTGCGCACCACCCTTCCACACGACGGGACTGAAGCTAGGATTCCCTGCGGATTTGCTTTCGCGCGGCAGCTGGTTCGCTGCCGTTTGACGCAGGAGCAGCCATGCCGACGCGTGACCGCGCCATTCGACGATGGCCGCCACGTCGACGTGGAGCTGCACAGCCTGCGACGAACTGTGCGGCACAAGCATGTCTTTGGAGGGGGCCTATAGTATTGCTGACCGTCAATATCCACCCTACGTCACCGAAATTAGTAAATTTACATGTTTATTGGATTTACGTAAGTTGATGAAAATGGGTTAGTCAATGTAAATTCGAATTAGGTACGACCTAAACCAGTTTAGGTCTTGAAGAAAGCAATTTATAAAACATATAGCCCCAAGTAGAGACACTTGGATAAAAGCACAAGCGCACACATTCAGGTATAAGCACACAGGAAAGACAAGCACATGCAAAATGACTTGGATGAAACAGAAAAGGAGACATACTCAGGTAAACACAGTTCCAATTTGGAAGAACATGTGGCCACACGGTGTTTGGGCTGCTACTTTTTGGGCAGCTGCTTTTCCAGAAAACCTCCTCTAACTTAAGCATTGTTTTTTCTGAGGTGCAACAGGTGCCTGTACTTGAGACTGGCCACCTATAAATTTGGGATAAAATGTTGATGAACTTTTGATGCACTTTTGATGTACTTTTGATGTACTTCTGATAAACTTTTGATGTACTTTTGAAAAGTGTATATACATCAGAAGTGCATCAAAAGTGCATCAGATTCATACAGGTTTTTGGCAGATTTCATGAAAAGTTAGATGTTCTGCATCATCTTGTCAGCAAAACAATACCTAGCAGTCTTATGCAGTCTTGTGGGTTTATCGTTTACCTGAGAATGTAATACTTTTGCACAAAGACGAAGAAATTCCTATGGGTCAAGTCACACCTGAAGAGAAGGAAGAGGTTGAGCAAAAATCACCCAGTACACCTGTGAAGAAGAAACCTGCTGCCAAAGCAAAGAGCCCAAAAGCAAAGAGCCCTAAAGGAAAGAGTCTCAAAGCAAAAGCAAAAGGAAAGGGCAAACCAGAGTCAAAGGCAAAGGCCAACTGTTTGAAAAGGCCTGCTGCAAGTGGAGAGACCGAACAGCCAAAGAAGAAACCAGCAGCTCATGGCTGGGCAGAAGGGTTGCAGGAGGATAAGGAACCATCAGAGAATCAAAGAATGCTCTTCCTCCTAAAGTGAAGAAAAGTCTACATCCTCAAGTAAATATACGCCCTCAAGTAGACACCCTCAAGTAGAAAGGTTTTGTTCAAGTCAAGAAGGGTACACATGCTCAAGTAAATGCAATCCCTTCAAGTAAAGGCAAAGTCCACACCTCCTGGCATGCTCAGTCAACAAAAATCCATAGCGCAAATATTCAAGTACATGTTGTCCTGTAGAAAACCTGCCTCTTTGGACAAAGCCAACTCACATAAATTGAGACATTTTCTGCTTCAAAACCATGCTCACAAAAATTTACTCATAACCTACAAAAATTACTCATAACCTAAATTGGATTTACTACTACATTTACGTAATTGTTTACGTAAATTTTCCCAAGTAAAACCAAAAATGTACGTAAATCTTATGGTTACAAAAATTACTAATTTGGGTGACTTGGGGCAGTATCTGCTTGCTCGCGCGCGCCAGCGCGTCGATCACTTCGGCTTCTGTGGGGCTCCGGTCATGCGCCAGCTCCAGCAGTGCAACGACCCCTTGGAAAGAATTCCAGACGCCCGTTATCTCGTGATTTCGTTTACGTTTCATGTACAACTTGGGGCCCTCACTGTCCAAATGGGTGCAGACCAGTTCCCAGACTACGCGTCTGGGCCTCACCAGCTTCCCTCTGCTGTCTGCCTCGCACAATTTCCAGGTATCGATGCAGTTCCGGTTCTATGACTATACACGGCTTTGCCATAAGACGTGCAAATTATACATAAACCTGTGACTCATCGTAGATAATTACCTTCAAAATCCACATACATATACCTGCACCTTCATTGGGCACAAATAACCGCATTTGATTTTGGCGGGATTTCCGTGTGCTCTACAGAAACCTGTTCATTTGAACACCAAAGTGAGCCTTCCTGTGAGCATGGTCCTGTCTTACAACGCGTAAGACGGCCCTGCTTGTCACTTGTGCCGGATCCGCCTCAACTTCCGAAGCTCCCGTTTCATTTTGATATGGATTTTCTAACTTGGAAAGCTTGGACTGAACAAAACTCGACTCTCAATTTTGAGCTTTTCCGGCATTCGTCTACCTAGGCGAAAATAACTTACACTCAGGCTCCTACATGGGCGGTTGTGCCCGCTCATCATCGGGGTGCACACTGCAGTGGCGCTGCCGCCTGAAGAGGCAATTCTCTGATTCATTGCTGAACGACACGCTCCGAATCTTTTTTCGTCGCGTCCTTGTTCCGCAGGCTTTGCTCTTCTGCCCGGGCTTTTTCCTGCGTCGCAAAGCCCCAGACAAGTGCAGCTGTTCGGCGCGGCTCTGCTGTTCTATGATGCTCAAATGCCTTGTCCGTCTGCTGCTTGGCGTTTTTTTCCTCCAGCTCGGCGATCAGGCAGCGTACTTTTTCCTGGTCCTCCCACGGCTAAAGCCTTGAATCTCCTATCAACAATAGAGGCAAAATAGTGGGTATGACTGGAAAGGGGATGAGCAAAAACTGCTTCTACAATGTTAGTACATCAAAGTTACCTTCTACGAAGCGCTGCAAAGGTTTCTGACGTCTTTGTGCGGCTACTGTTTCGAAGGTTCCACCGTTCCACGCGTGGTCTTCGACTGTGGCCACGTTCCACGCATGTCGCGGGCCTGCTACGAAGTTAGTCGAGTAGGTTTTTACCAAACCCTGTCTGTGTGTTACCCTTTGGTTTTCCCTGAAACGGGCTTCCTCCTTGTCCAAAGTTGGCGGGCCCTTGTAGGGATGGGACCAACCCGGATGCCTGGCCAGAACCTGTGGAGATAAAAAGTTTCTTTTGGCCTAGTGCCACGGTGTGCCTTGTGCAGTGCCAGGAGGTTGTCCCGGCAGATTTTGTCTTCTTTGCGCCTTGCCGCCTTTCGGACGCGATCCTTTGCGATCGCTTCCAGCCAGGCACCGTGCCCCTGACATGCGAAGAAACTGCTCTGTACGCGGCAGACCGGCAGAACTAAAACCCAGGTCAAGGAGCCAAGTCTCCGATATCAGCGCCAACGATATCACCAGCAAAAAAGACATGCAGCACTCAACAGTGATCAACAGAGCACGCACTCTTTCCCATCCAAACACACATTGACATGCACAGATAAATATGTAGATCGAAAAATGCGGGTGCGTTCTGACTTTCAGTGAAGATCCATGGACGCCTGCGCTGCAATCAAACTCACACAGTGGCACATGTTCCACAACGTGCCTTCATCAAATGGAACCTCGCGAGGTTTGGCCGAAGATCCAGCACCTAGCAGCATGTGGTGACACTATCCCAAGCTAGATCGAAAGAGCACAAAGGAGGCCTCTATCATCTCCGTGAGCCCAATCACCTGGGCATATGTGGCAACTTGGGCTAGAATCAGGTGCCAAGTTTCAAATTAGTAGCAACTCAGGATCCTGCGAAAGGCCGATGATCGATGATCGTTGCATTTCCCCACATGTCCAAGCTGCTCCAGCCCAGCAGCTGGACATGTGTGAACGTGAGCCCTCAGGAACCACATTTGAGACATGTCGAGACCCTTTCGTTAACGGCAGCCCTGAGAGTCCACATGCCTACGAGGCCCCTCACAACACACATTTGTATGTCATCCATATTTGCTCACATGGAGCGTTGGGGCTTTTTCAATACTTTTAATTTTTAATGTTATTTATGCTGCTGGAATATTTCAAAGCTAAGTGAAGTCGATTTTCAGCGTGAAACTCCTGGTCACGATGTGATTCTGCGACCCAACGACGACCACGACGACCCAACGACAACCCGACCAACCTGATCATCTCCAACCGAAGGGGCAGCCGGCATCTTCGCGCGTCCCCGTCCAGCTGCGCGAGGTGAAATCCCACGGCAAGGCCAGCGAAGGTGCCACCCGAGCCGCACGGGACCAGAATGTGATCCTGATAAAATCTCAGCCGAGAAAGATGGACTGTCAGTGTTGGGTTTGTTGCTTTCTAGAGTCATGTCCGAAATGTTCCATGTTCGATCATGTTCGGTACAGTACCTAATACCTTGGAGGCTCCAAATCCTCGCTTGGCTTTGAATCATAGCTCCATGAGACGCTGAAGGTGCCTGAATTCAATTGAGAACTACTTAACTACTTTGGATAAATCCAGGGCTCGGTACTCTTTCGGTGGGATGTCACGGGTTTGTCAATGATTGGTTTGACCACCTGGGCCGTTTATCTCACAAACAAACAAAAACATATAACACAAACACAGGAGGGAGGTCAGGATGGGATTGGCTTCCGACCTCGTCCCGGAAGAGTTCTCCATAGTTCTCCAATGTCGTGGGAAGCAAAGGAGCTCTGGGGACCTTTAAATGCAGTCAGTCGACCGTTTTGTCTTCCACCTCAGACCTTGAGTTCTGAGGAGACGCTGAGGCTGTGATAGAGGACCACGGAAATGACCATCGCGGTAGTCAGTATTACAGGGTTTGTAGACATCGTTGCCGTGGGCATGGCTCTTCCAGCACAAGCAATCGCAAGATTCAACCTCCTCCAACTCAAAAACGATGTGCTGAACATGCCAGGGCTCTATAGGGTCTTCCAACTCAGTCAGCCTCAGTGAAGTGATGAAAGGACCATCTCGGCGATGTCTCAAGCACATGCAACAACACTGCTTGAGTAAGTCCAAGGCCGACTCAGGGTACAAATCTGGTCTTGACAATACAAGCTGGGATACTGCAGCAATCAAAAACAAGTTCCCACGTCTTGAACATGGCCAAAACTCTGTGAATTGTCACACATGCAGATCGTTTCCCATTACCCAGCCAAAAAAAAAGTCATCATCTTACCATGATCACCCGCTCCTTGTCAAACACCATGTCATACATAGGATGGTATGTGGGATAGTATCATTGAATCACAACACCTCTCTTTCAGAATACCGAAAGCACAAAAAAAACAACGAACAACAACGATGCTCCGTACCAACTCCTGGGTCAACTGGCCACGCGGGGGCAAGGCACTGCTGTTGGAACTCCTCCACGGCATTCAGGTAACCCCAGGTGCCCAAGGGCGTGGTGCCACCGACCTGCCGATGCTCAGGAGTCACATGGAGGGCCTGGGTGGTGTGACAGGGGCACCCCTAACCTCCAATAGCACCCCGTCGAACGTGACTGCTGGGTGTTTTCTTTATGTCTTACGTTTTCAGCTGTTCTATACTCTATAGTCTATATGTGCTGCCGGGATTGATGTGGAGATGCGTTACATCTCTCTCTCTCTCTCTGTCAGGCTCTCCTTTCTCGCAGATCCACCACTGGCCCGGATGGGGACAACCTTGTGCTGATGGTACAAAACAACCAGGATTAACCAAGCCAAGTTCAAGAATGTGAGCAAATCTAAGAGGGTAAAGAATGGGTATGCGACGTGCAATTGGAGATCTGGCCCAATGGCCCAATGTATTTGGTCATGAGTGGTCATCAATAGCTTTGCTCTTTCCAGCGGTGAATATCTTTTTGTTTGAGAGGCGCAGGAGTGCATAGATCGAAAAAGGTTTTATTGGATCAGTGAATCCCTATCATGTGGAATGGGTTTATACATATATATATATATATATCATATACTTTGGGTCTATCCCGTTACCAGTAACACTGGATGATGGTTAGTAAAGGCCTTGTTCAAAAATGATTATGGCAGTCCCATGGAGTGTCTGGGATATACAACAGATGAAATCAACCGAAGCTGCTCCGAGAGACTGGTATGACATAGGGATCACGCCCACGTCTCCTCAACTGCTCCGCCACTTCTTCGTTCCTGGGGAGCCCGTGGAGCGGTGTGACACGGAAAGGAAGCTGAGAGGTGGGTGGTCGTGACCCACCTGGAGCGCCAGGTAGTCGGGTGGTGAACCAAAGTATCCGGTATCCTACCGAAACGCCCATTAATCTGTCGACTGTCTACAACAAATACACCAAAGCTCTGGCCGTGCGAACCGGGCCTGTTAGCCTTGAAGACTGAGTTAAACAAAGCATGTCAGCTTGCAAGAAAACGCTTCAAACTTGCTCTAAATTTGCGGGGAAGGTCATGAAAGCTGCCACCCACCAGGTCTCCTCCAGTTGCATGTCATAGCCATAGCTATTTCTTCAGGTGGTCATTTTGTCGTCGCGTCTTGGGACGCGACTATAGCAATCCGGTTACAAACAGTGCGCTTTGGTATGAGGTTGGCAGTCTCTGCTTCAGAAAACATACAACCCGGTTGCAAAATGTTACAAATGTTTGTGCCAAATATGGCATGATGGAGATTCAACACACACACATTCACTCACATTGCCAGGATCATTCAACAGGCGGCCCAATGGGCTTTGAGTGCTTCATGATGCTTCTAGTTAAACCTATTTGTTTGCCAAGTGCTCTCCCTTTTTCAAAATATATATATATATATAAACCCTCTTGAAAGGCCGCAGCTGGACATCTCCGACCGCGCGTCGAGCGTTTGCGTCGCCGATCGTTCAGTCTCGACTCAAGTGATCCGCCGCGGCTAAGTCGCCGCCCGCCGCGCGATAGGCGCTGGCAGGGCAGAGATGCAGCGTGGCGCCGGAGAGGCGCATGGGCAACAGGTTCCCGGAAAGGCCTCCAACCAAGGTTCCCGGTGGAGCGTTCCATGTCTCAAGTTGCAGGAGGCATTACAGTTGGATACGGTTAGATGATTGACCTTCCAACCTGACGGCGTTCGACGTTGGTTTTTTGTGATCCCTTTGAAAGATATAGGCAAATACATCAGCCCTGATGTGTTGGATCCAACCAGGGTCATTTCGGCACCGAGTCCATCGTCTGGTCACCGAGTCCTGACTGACCACAAACTGACCGGATGGTCTCCGTGCGCAACAAACATCGGTCCCTTTCGTTGGGGCCTCCGGTCCCATATCCTCAGGTTCGGTGGTTAGACCCAGGAGAGGCACCCGCCCCAAGCACCTTCTCCTGCGGATGTGGGCCGGGAGCCCTAGGGTTTCATTGGAAGTCCAGGTCAGGAATTTCGGACTCAGAACTCTGAAATCCGAACATGACAAGGTCAAGGGTACAGGTGAGTGGTTTTAGAGGTGAGAATGGCTTCATGGCACCTCAAGATGATGAATTTAGATCGGAGACCCATACAGACCAAACTTGGTGGATTGTGCCATCTACTCTCAATCCACTCACATATCTAGACATCTAGATATATATCTTACACTGCGAACCTCCCACCCCCCTGCGAACCGGGAACCAAGAATCAGGGCAAAACTGAACAGCGGAAAACAATTCGGGGGGAGCCATGAGCCATATCCATCGCCGCTCGCAAGAAACTTGCAGGTTGACACGACACATCCCACCTGGGTCCTCTTGGAGCATCTGATCCTTCACCTGGAGGCTCGTGGAGAATCAGATTAATTAGCGAGTGGAATTCTCAGTAACAAGCCTGGCAAATGCCAAAAATAGGAGCTGGTCGACATGCTATGACACAGGGTTTCCGGACCAACGACTCAAAAGATGGCGCTGAGCCAAAATGGTGTTATATAGATGGCCTCTAGGGTGTTCTTGGTAGTGCAATGTAATGCATAAAAACGGGAAACGTAGAGATACACTATGATACAATCAAGCTTTTTCACATGTGGGGTCATGGTCAGGGGATAAACCCGAGCTTACCTTGCGAAACACACGTTGTTTCCATGGAAGCACAGCGCCATCTGCTGATACATTAGATCAAGTCTTATCTCGTTTCTCTTTCGATTTTTGGGTTCGATGTTTCATGCCATGCCCAGGTACCAGCAATACCACATGAGGCTCCAGTCCCAAGAGCTTGGCGCACACGGCCGTGGCGCGGCAGTGGTTGGATTGAAGACCTGACGGGCTGACGGGTGACTGAGTCCATGGGATTTTCCAGGAAGAACATACTAAGAACCTCTTACGTAGATTAGATGTGTGCATCCGGGCATTTTTTGGTTGAATCACAAGTCTCTCACGAAGTTCGCTGTCGACTGGTGACTTTTGCGACTTCAAATGAATCCTATACCCCAATGTAGGGCGGACTAAGATGGAGGCCAAGTGGTGTTGGGACCGAACCAAGCGACGGCGTTTTACGACGGCCGAAATCAGGTTCCGAAGCACTGAGGATCCTCCCTTCAGGAGAGGGAGGAGGGAGGAGTTGCAACATCCGTCCTGCCTTGAAGATGCGGCAAGCAATAGAAACAAACAAACGAGAACTCATCAAATCTAATGGAACAAATAGCATCAAAACAGCATCTGACATGCCGTGACCCACGGTACTTCTCGTGATGGGTCAAGAGGAGGCACTCCAGTAGCAACCAATGAGAACGACTCCCCATTTGGGGGGTTCGGTTCTAAGATTAATTGCTGAGTAACAAACCATGATAAACCATGCATATGGACTCATATGGACCTTCAACCTGCCTAACCTGGTTCCTCACAAACTAGACTAGATCAAACTAGTAAAGTTAGAGAATTCTTGGTTCCTTTGAACAAAGAAACAATGAGACCAACTTGGTGGCTTTTCTCTGGTTTCGGACGCCCCGGAAACCCGCGCCACGCCACCTCCCACGGTGACCACGGAGTCATGGCCGTTCGCAAGGGCCTGCCGATGGCCCCGGGCCCCAACCCCGAATCAGCGACCACAGGTTGTGCTGGTTGTCACGTGACAGATTCTCAGACTGGTTTGATGTGTCGTTTGGGAGAGAGGCAAGCCTGGAAACATGAAACCACAGTGGCAAGCAGGCACGGTTCTTTTGTAGCCACATGGTTGACTTGTAAACTTGACTTGTTGATATTTGTTCTCTAGCTAGCACCAAGAGGCCCGCCTCCGGTCTGTGATTTGCAGTTGGTTTTCTAACGTTGGTCTGTGAAAATAGTGACACTTAAATATCAACTGGATGCATCGTGGTGAATGTGGGATTTCGACCCAAACATGTTTCTCCCTGCGCGGTCACCTCAGAATCCATATTTTCACCACAGCTCTCATGAGCTCTCACAAGCGGCTGGGTCATGGCTAATGATATCGCGTGACCCCAGGTAGAGACCCGCTTGTATCGGGCTTCTGGGTTTCTCCCTGTGGGAAGCCTTATGGACTTGTGGAAGACTAGCAAAGCCCACAACATTTCAGCAACATTGAACAAAATTTGAAATTCCTTTCAACAACATTGACAGCGCGATGCTCCCCAACAAGGGGTAGTTGGTTCTCGATTCCCTAGCCTGTGAGTGCATCAGTGGTCCCCACAAAAGGTTTGGGAGACAACTGCCAACTGTCGCACTTTGTGAAGGCCTCCGAGAGCAAGAACTCCAGCCTCAGCCAGAAAGGACAAAGTGACTATGGGTGTCATCTCCCTTCTATTCCAGTCCCTTGCACCCCAATATCCCATGTACTATCCCATGTCCTCAAGCTCGAATCGGGAGAATTGCATGTTCATCTCATCCCCAAACGATCAATGGTGGCGCAAATATGGCCCACATTTGGTGTGTTGTTGAGTTGTTTTTCGTGGTGAATGTGAGTCATGTTCACCTTACATGGATCGTTTGGGATATCAAACACACACACTAGGATTCTAGAGCATCAAAAAAACATGAACATCAAGCGTACACCCGCTGGGGAAAGTTGGGGGCTTCCCGTCTTCTACCAAACAAACCAACAAGGCAATACAAAGCAAAGCTTTTTGCTGCATGGAACTAGGCCGCTAGGCCAGATGCTTATTATTAATGTATACATATATAGATGCATTATACAAGGGGAGCCCTATGACACAGCCCTGAGGTCATCCACGAAGCAAAGCCCGATCTTCCTCCATCTCCTCTCCGTCACCCCAAAAAGAACGCGACGACACGAGAAAAAACGTCTTCCGAAAGGCTTCCGGGTCTTGTTCCCGGACAGCTCCACACCACACACGTCATCGCGCTTCAGCGACCAACGCCTGAGCCGATGCTTCGCGTTGGTCGAAAGGTTCGCCTGGAGGGACGTCGGTTTTGCCATGTTTCTCCGACGCTGCGGACGCCGGTTTTAGCGGGCAAAAAGAAGAAATTACACGGTGAACTGAGAGGTACTGCTATACTTTGGTCTGTTTGCCCTCACACTCCATCTGGCTTACACCCTGGGGAGTTGATCTCCAGTATGAGATGCTGCTGTAAGAGTGTATAGGCGTGTAGCCTCTGAAGGGACCCAGGCGAAGGCTTCCGGGGACCAAGTCGGAGCCACAGACGTCGCTGCCAAGTGGCACATTCAGCTCTTTCAATGCTGGATTGGCCCAAGGCATCCTCGGGTCATCGCTTCGCACGGCGATGAGGAAAACACCTGCTTCCACGGCTGGTCACCGCTGGTCTCGTTGTTTCCCCGGGCCCGAAAAAGGTGCAGTTGGATGAAACTGTGGACTGGAAGCTTGACAATCCAACAGTACGTAGCAACAAACATTCACCAATCCTGAGGTGGATCAACCCTTTGAGCCACATCATGTGAGGTTTAAACCAAGTTCTCATTGAGTTTCCAAGTTCAGGTCCGGAGCTCTCTCCTCCAAATTCTCCGAATCCCACCGATGTGTTGTTTCTATTTTTCTGAAATTCGCTTTGGCTACGGTGCATGCCATGGGCTCAGCCATGGGCCAGCCCCACAAAGCAACCAGTCCTTCATACCATGACAGACCCGAACCCTCCATGGGAATGGCATATATATATATATATTTAACCACATTGGGATTGTTGACCTGGGCTCAATGCAGGCATAACGATCATACATTCCAGTCCCATGGATGGTCTGGGATAGTAACACAGCTTGGACGAACCGGTTGGCCACGGTTGGCGGCGCTATCTTTCGAAGCGGTCTAGAGGCATATTGTGCCCCTATACATATAGCATCATAGCGTTCTTTTTGGGTAGAACAGGTTAGGGAACAATTGCGGGGGTTGACATACAATGAGGAGGATTTGGATATAGGATTCGGGGTGGTAGATCACCTGTGGCTAGACGACTCAAACTTGGAAGCAAGCAATTCATCACCAGTGAGGGGAGAATGCAATCAACATCCATCAACCCAACCTGGCTCTGTTCTTTGTGTGAAGAATTGGAGGAAACAAAGGCTTCGAAACCCACAAGCTCTCGAACGAAGTCTGTAGCTAAGGAAAGGCCTCCAAGCCAAGTCGCAGGACATCCTAGATCACCCCAAAAGGCCCCTGGACAGGTTCTCAATCTATTTATCGCCTGAGGACCGAATATCCCACCTTACCGAGTGCTAGCAACATCACCCTACGCATGATGTGGCACGCACATCATGCGTGCACCCCAGCGGCAAAGGCGTGGGCCAATGCCCCAAGACCACGCGGTGCCGCGGCGCATCCAGCGACGAGGCCCAAGTAGGGGCCTGGCACTGCACTGCGTGGCACTGCGTGGAGGGCGCAGTTGAAATGGTTCAACTGCCTCGCCCTCCACTGCCAGAACCTGGGGAAATACCCTTGCACTCCTCTGACCATGTCAGCCGTTTGGAGATGGAGGCCATGTGCAAGCCAATAACAAAATCAATTGGGATGTTTTCCAATAGCGAAAACTGTTAATGGAAATAAAGGACGACTAAATTAAAATATAGACTTTCAGCCAACCCCCGGCGCTGTAATCCTGTCTTCGTACTCCGAGGGGTCTACTACTTTCATGCCCATTGTGGTTCAAAAAACATTGTGACATCATGTACTATATACTCTTTTTGTGCAGTCTTTAGCACTCCTTTGGCTGTACAAACGGAATTAGAGGGATTCACAGGGCGACTGTCGACTTCATCGCACCTGATAGGGCACTTGCTGCAGGAGCGATGCCGACAGGCGAGCGCGCGCCATGGCACGTAACGCGGTCGCGTGGCGGAGACGAGCGTTCTCCGAGAACTGTGCTAGGGACGGTGGAAAGTTCTGACATATCTAGAGAGATTAAGCAGGTCAACAAGAATCCAACCAGTACGGTAAAAACTCCTGATTAATAACACATTTATAGTTTTTTTTTGCGGCCTTTGTTTTTTTTCCGAGTTCCATGAAATTCCAACAGGTCAATCTCTTCTGAGTTCCATCAGGTCGGGCTTTGACACTGTCTATCTCTTGTCGATCTGACCCCCATGGTGGACATCCAGCATTACTATTATTATATTACAAGTGTATATATATATATACACACCATACAGTTTACAATATATATATATATATGACATCCCCAAGACCACTACAAACTCTCATGTGCACAAACATTGCCATGTACCTTCAGGCATCCAGATGTTGTCTTTCCAAGCAAATTTATGTTCTTGACAAGTTCATCTATAGGCAATGTTGACTAGACTGGCTCTACTTCAAGCAGTCCTAAGGGCGAGGACATGTTGACCATGACCGGGCTCATGTTGCGCTGTGTGCGGAGCGCACTGAGGAGTGGTGCGGGCCACCAAAGCCGTGCGGTAAGAATATAGATGGACACGGACAGTTCTTAAATGTTTCTATCATTAAATCCATCATTCATGAATTATGCGGCACATCTAGCAACTAAAGGCAACATGACTTCTTCAAGGCCAAACATGCCCAAACCATCAAAAGGTCCGTTCGCCGGCGAGTTCGCCGGTTCGCCTCACCGTGTCACCTCGATCTCTCCTGAACTCTTCCAGACGCTACCAGCTCACTCCCACTGGGAGCCCCTGCAGACCGTGGTGGATCCCAAGCTTCGGGTCTTCTTGAACGCCTCACGAGGTCACGGGTCGTTTGGGTCAGCGGTGGGATTGATTGGCTCCCAGGAGCGGGGGAAAAGATCAAACAGATTGGCCAAGATTTGGGGATTCCCCCCGTTCGGGCAAAGAACCATCATCCATTATCATACTAAGCAAAGCCAGGGTGAAGGTTTCGGCTCCGATTCGGGGTCGGTGTGCTTGGTCCCCACAACTGGAGCAATGCATGAACATGAGATCGTCAGGAGCCTCCGTTGTGCAAGTCTGACATACGTCACCGTCTGAGCTGTGAGTCGCGTGGTGAGGTTTACATCTGCAATTGCCCCTGAAACCAACAAGTTTCGGCCAATAAACGTGCCAATCCTACTCCTTCTGGCTTCCCTAATTAAACATCAAGGGTTTTTGGCTTAACCGTTTTGATGTCTACCTTTACAGCAAATGTCTCCTGTTTTGCAGACCGAAACTGCGCCTCCCGCATTAAGGGCACTGGCCCTTCATATGCCCCTGAGATCTTTCCTGCCTTCCGGCATCGCACGAAGACCACTTGGTCGCGTTTCATGTCACCTATGATCAACATGTGCGTTTCCATGCTCCTTCTCGACCAAGCAAAACGATCTCCACATCTCCTTTGTCCTTCAAGTCTGTTTACATTATATACATATAAGAATATATAGGAATAAGATATGTATCTTGGCAGTGTGCTTTTACAAAGTTCCCCAAGCTCTATTCAATCAGCGAACACTGCAGGAGCACCATGAGGTTCCCAGCAAGGCAAAAGTGGCCTTGTAAAAAACACAATTACAGGATTATACAGGAATATGTTACAAGGAAACGATGCTTGCGATCATCCCAGGGTCTCTGTTTCCAGTGAACTCACTGTAACTCACTCCCTCAGTGTGGAAATCCTGCTCATGCTGCCCTTTTCGTGCTGTGCCATGTGTTCATTGGTGTATCTGTGTTTTTGCGTTTATGTTGTTTCCACACAGCCATTGATAGCTCATTCCAATGAATGTCCAATGGATGATCCCTAAGTTCTGTGGGGTAGTCCAGCTAAGGAAGAATCCAAACACGTCCTGGTCAACAGAACCCGTGAGTGAAGACTGCTCCCTTGGAAGGATTCTCACAAGCAAAACCCCCCTTCGCCCAACAGCTAGAAGCGGAGGTGGAGTTCTGGTCCAGCTCCCTTTTGAGTAAAAGCATGTCCTCACCGAAATCCTCCAAACATGTCCTCACCTCGTCGGGGACCAGCAAATTCATCGCCTGATCCTGGGATCGCGGAGTGATCAACCGATCCGATCGGAGCTTCCGAGAATCCGTGCGCGTTCCGCACGGTGGCGCGGTGGACCTGGTCGACCTACACACCACTTGCGGACACGTCCATGTTCAAGGCACACCACGCCATTCCACAAAGGTGCGGGGGAGGGATAGACCCAAAAGGAGGCAAAGAAAAACACCATTGGTGGGGGAGAAGATCCCCCAAGTCATATACACACCCAATCGACACCTGCAGGTGTGATATATATCCTTGTGGATTCGGTCGGTCGGTCGGTGTCTTTCAAATGGTATACGTAGGTGGAGCAGTGCTCATTCGGAGTTTGTGGTGGAACACCACAAGTCTTCAATAGTCTTCATCTTCATGTAAGCTCTGCAATGCCTAAAAGCCATCTTCATACCATCCGGGATTCATCTGGAATTCCTTTGTTCATTGATGCTCCCCATACCGGCAGCCCGCCTCACAGGCATCCAAGAGCTCTCGGGGCAACTTTGACGCGTCGATGCCGAACTCCTACCGCAGCGGAGGACGCTTTGGCAGAGAAAGCGTGCCGCCGTGGTGCTGCGACGGGAGCTGCCTCTGTGACTCCAGCGATGGCAAAATCTGAGACCAGCAGGGTCTGAGTCTCTGAGAAGCATGTCATGAGAAGAACATGAATATACATATATATATATATATGACATATACATACCAGCACCCGACTCTACAGGTCTCCTCTGGTAGCTTTTGGATACTTTAAAGTGTCAGGTGGTGACCTGTTGGAGGGTGCTGGTATATATTGTATGTATGATACACATTATACATTGTTTGAAGGATACACTCCAACCCATGGAACTTGGAGACACCTGAGGAGCAAGTTCAATCAGCCTCTGATCTGGGCAGTCTCCAAAGGAATACACAGCCTGGGTGATTTGGTCATGCAAATATGCTCCAAGGGGACTGGGGGCTCTTGAGCCAGCCATGGCCATCCGAAAAGTCATGCTGCTAGTCTATTGGATGATCTGGTTCGATCATGCAGTCAAACTCATCAAGCAAAAACCAGCAATGCAAGCAAGTTGCCACTGTAGAGCAATGGAGGGATGTCCACACACGGTAAAAACTGCAACCACGGAGTTTCAAGGCAAACACCTTCCAACACGGTAACCTGCGACCCCTTCATAGTTGAACTATTGCTCACATCTGATGTGTACTGCTGATTGATAAAAGCCCCTCATATGGAGATGTAAACAAAATCTGCTATACGGCGTGTCTATGATTCTATATGAATCAAACAGTCATCCCATCTACGGGGCACCTCATCCCATTCGACCGGGTCGGGCACATCAAACCCGTGCGACCATAGCGTCTCCGTGCCTCAATCTGAGAGACGCCATCTGCACAGCCCAACAGCATCGGTGAGACCTTGGTGTGAGAAGACCAACCGCTCGAGCGATGGCCGCGACGAAGGGCGTTCCGACGGCCGACGGGCTGGGCTGCCAGCACTGAAGTGTGCCCAATTGAAAACATAATATATATGGTACACTACTATAGCCCCTTAGCCGTTAAGGGGTGTCCATTGACCAGCCCTTGAAGGCCCTGGTATATATGATATATTCATGTATTTACTACGTTACTATATTATGATAAATGTTTCTAGAGTCAAAGGCTTGTCAGTGTCAAGCATGTAGTACTATATATATATATTGAATATGTTTGGTATATGTTAGTTGGCCCTTGGGGTATCTCTGTGTATCTCTAGCAGGCAAAACAATTGAAGTTGAACAAACATCACACAGGAGAGCACCAGTCGCTGACCAACTAAGAGTGTGAAAAAAGAACAAAGAAGCTCTGTCGCTTTTGGAGAAAGAATTGTAATTTGCAACCATTGGAAAGGGACCCCTCAACAGTTTTAATGTGTTCCTTCCCATAAAAACCTGACAGGCAAGAACCTGGCAGGGCTCAAGAAGGACCCCCTAAGAAGGTCGAAGAACTGGTGTAAGTCTTCGTCTCCTTCCAACTGGTCTGGAACGCATCATGTTGTAACAATCAACCTATATGTGCAGAAGGATCAAATCCACTATCAACTGCAGCCTATCTAAGTGTTAGATCTTGTACTCTCTGCGGTTCATTCGACGTTAAACACAAGAATCGCAGGGTTGACACTGAACAATCATGGTTACGTGCATGGCACGGCCACGACAGGATGGCTTTCCTCTACAAGCGGGTGGTGCCATCAACTTCCCTGATGATTTCAGGAGGTGTATGATATATGTTGGTTCATTCTTGGGTTCCTGGTGGGATGACCCCGGAGGCTCACTGCGGAACCTGTACCGCTTGCGGAGGGCTCCCGGGCCACGGTCGCATCCGCGTCCCGATGGCCCAGCACAGAGGCCTGGCCGGCGGGCGCTCAGGGGGATCTGTTGGGTGACGATCCTGGTGTACACTCCGACTGACTAACATGAAAGTGGAAAACCTCCTGTTTGTAAAGGAAAGTAGTCTTCCAAGGGGTCATTTTCCACTTCCATGTTAGTGAGTCAGAGAGTAAATACCAGGAGTCACAAAGGGATGCCTCTTGGAGGATAGGGGTGCCTGATGGGTGCCTCAATACAAATACAATCAACGACAAGGTGGTCATGGTTCCCTTGTGTGTTCTAGCTATCCGAGCTGGAGTTGTCTCCAAGGGTTTATTTAGGTCATTAAGAAACATCTGTCTGTGCCGGGTCTATGCTGAGTTATGACAGGATCAATTGATTGGGGAATAAGCAATGGATCTGGTACATTGTGAGGTCTATGAGTCATTCTCCACCTCATCCAGATTACTGATCATGTGATGTCAGACCAACCAGCCCAGAGAAGGTGATCTATGGCATTGGTCAGCTCCACTCAATGGAAGATCATGATCCCAAAGGGATGTGAATTGAAATAGGGAGAAATAGGGAGAC